TTCACGAGAACACATTGTAAAGTGTTTTGTGTTTTATGTTTATGAGTATGGAGAAATATTTCTTTGGAAATGATACAGGTTGACAGGTCGAAAAATATCAGATGATTATAGTTGAGACGAAAAATATTTCACGGGGTGGTTTTAACCATTATAAAAATATCAAGGACTAGCTGTTCCCTTGCGACTTTATCCGCATAAAATTATGAAAATTTTATTTCATTGTTTACATGTCAAATTATTAATTGCAAATGTCAAAATCACATCACATGACATGACAACCTTGCTTCCTTGATGTTGGCAGTAACTTATGGTCTCTTTCCCACATTAGGGTTTTTATCCAAAATATTTACCCCCTAAGTTTAGTGGCTTCAAAATATATAGCCTAAAGCGTAACGCTAGTGTAGGGCTTTTTATTAAAAAAAGAACTATTTAAAAATATGCTGTAATTGCTGACATCTTAGGCAACAAAGAAGTGTGTGTTTACGCTTTATTATAATAGTATAGACCTGATTAAAAGATGTTTGATTATGAATATTTTAGTTACAAATTATCATTTTGTTTTACATAGCTCGAAATTACGCTAGCGGTGGCAATATGACTTGATGTCAAGGTTATAAAGATGGCGGACTTTTGTGTTCATTGTCTCCGTAGCCATGTCATGCTCGCATATGCTTGCTAATATACGGCACGTACACTCCATGTAATAACTTTGGTCTAGACTTTTATTTCGCAACAGCCTGTTTTGCTGAATTAAAGCAGTCGGAATATTTTGTACGATTATGAGCTGCGCTTTGATGTCTTAAATTAATCTACTAATTGATGGAATATATGAAAGATGATATTGTAAGATCTTAAATGTGTATCCATATTACGTGTTACCTAACTGCATACCTTTTTGGTAAGCGTGGGTATTACACTCGGGTTAAATACGAAGTAACAAGAGCTTTGTCCAAAGTAATGGTTAGGTTATATTTGTCTTCAATTGGAAGACAAACTAATTATAATCCATAGTTCATTCACTTTTATTAGTTAAACAATGACCCCTATAGATGTCTGGACAAAGTCAAGTGTTTTTATTGCAATAAAAAATAAAAGTTGACAACAAAGTTACGGGCATCTAGGTTAAGAAAAGGTCGCCTGCATAAGTGAATCAAGGTTGAACATGCAATCCGATTGCATAAAAGTCGTGAGTAAAAGGTAAAATATTCGTGTGTTTTATAGAATTTATTGGCGTATTGTGACGAATGTTGCGTGTTGTGTTGATATTATTAGGAAATAACGCTTGTATAATTTATAGATCAACTTTTATTACTTCCATTTTGAGCAATGATTGACCGTATTTTCGTATTCTCACGTGTCTCTTAGAATACGAATATTACCTTTATAGATTGATACATTTTGCTCGTATTTACGAAGATTTTATAAACTACGCCAGCCGATGACACCTTCAGCCTGGCGCCCATGATTGTTTTATAGTAAAATTCGCTTTGCCTGCGACTTCGTCCGTGTGATATTAAATAAAACAAAAGCAAGTAGCCGATGTGTTTTTCCAGACTATGTTCTACATCTATGCCAAATTTCAGTAAGATCCGTTCAGCTGTTTGGGCTACAAACTCCATGATCAA